GCTAGTGCTAGCGAGTGCACAATGAGATGAGAGAAAACACAAGACATTTAGGATTTAACCACAAAGTGTATGTTTTGTATGCTAAAATTTGATTGATATAGCAAATTTAACTAGATTTTCATTTCTTTTCGTTTTTCAGTATTGTTAAATTATTCAATCCTTTCAATCGCCAGTTTTTTTCTTGTAGACTAGATTATAGTTTTCAAATTATTTGTCATTATTTATTTATATATATTTTAGATTATTTTGTTAAGTGTTCAATTCATCTTAATTAGAATTAGAAACATAATTTTTACTAAAGTATTTAATATAAAATCCTACATTTTCTAGACACGCTCGCTAGCCCTCATTTTACGGATCATCTAGGCTTGTATACACAATTTTTTGGCAAACAAGAATTACATCTCAGCTAGTTTTGGCAAACAAGAATTAGAAGATCAAAGGACTAGTTTTTGGCATTAAACAATTCCATCTCAGCTTTCGACCGAAGTTCGGAAAAATAAGACTTTCTAATACGAGTGAAATCCTAGGTAAAAATGGCCTTCTCACCAGCATCCTAGGCAAGCACTTGATACAATTCTCACCTCTTTTGAAGTTCTAAGCAAATCAGCCTGCTAATCAAACAAGAGAAAGCACAGTATAACTTCATTGAACAGAAATCCTAAATCCTAATACAGCTTATACAATTCTCACCTCGTTTTTTCTTCATTTTTAAGTATCCATCAATCTACTATTCCAAAATGCATTCTACTCTAAAAATAGGGGCTCAAACATGCCCTAAATGATATCTAGAAATTATTGCTTCAAAATAGGAGAGGCTGGAAGTCCTAATACTATGATGCTGTTGGGGATTGAGCCAATATATCAAAGAAGCAACAGAAACAATTAATTCAACCCCTTGATGCACAAAAATTAAAATGACGGCTATAATAGACAAATCCAACAAAGTCACACATTAGCAGGAATATAAATTGAACATCGAAATTTGTTAACGAAGAAAACCCCACGAAGGGAAAAATCCCGAGACCTAGTCTAGTAAAAGCTTTGTACTATGAAAATAATGAGATAAACAATAAACCCGCTCTAGAACACTCCAGAGGCTACCAATACATCAAGAACACATATAGTTCTTGGATATCAACACCA